GAACGCGTGGTCTAGTGCTTGGTTAGCCCAACGGCTACTGGACGCACGTGGCGGATCTGTTGTAGGTGAACGGCCTGCCGAGTCAACACTCCGCAGTCTAAACTTCCTCTTCTCACCACCGTCGAACAATCAACCGGGACAACCGAGACATCACCTTCGGCTACAACAACCGGTGGAGACACTTGACGCGCGATGGATCGAATTTGTCCGTCTTCGACGCTTGTTTTCGAGGAGGATGATGTTGGGTATCTTAAATACCACGAATCGCACCATGGGGGTTGTTGAAATGTCTCACAGCCAGATATCTTCTCTTCTTTACATCGTCTCAATTGGGAGTTAATCCGAGAATGAGACCGACTCTTCAGGCTCTTTGGCTTCTAAGCCTGGGCTATGCAACCTCAGTTCATGCTTTGGAGCCTCTTGAGCACCTGGGAGCTAACTCTCCATGGTTCGCTGGTATGATGTTTCCTTAAAACAATATTGTTCTCCTAAACTGATCTTCTTATATGAATAGGACCTGATGTCAATAAGATCTCGTCTGACGTTCCAGATCAATGCTCCATTGATCAGGCGATCTACGTCGTCCGCCATGGCAGCAGATACCCTGATCCTGGTGCCTATGCACAGTGGCAAGCGCTTTACAATGCTGTATGTTTCCTCGGCATCGTAAAATCGTTCAATTGCTGAATTTATATAGTTCCAATCCGCAAAATTCAAAGCCTCTGGGTCACTGAGCTTTATCTCCGATTGGACTCCGGTGCTGAGATACCCTGCTCAGCAGATGTCGCAAGTCTCCCTCACTGGGTATAAAGAACTGTGAGTATCTTTTGTCAGCCAGCACCTTTGCAAAACGACGCTGATACATTGATAGGTACGATCTTGGAGTTGATCTTCGGTTTCGGTACCCTTCATTCTACGAAGACAACACGCCATTCTTGCTGTGGGCGAACAAATATCAGCGCACTATTGACTCTGCTAGGTATTCCAGAGAACCCCTATCTGCAACACTAGACTCTCCTAATATTTAACAGGCTCTTTGCTCGTGGCTACCTCGGACCTAACTCCACCTACGGCGACGTCTATGTTGTCAATGCGGACGTTGCAGCAGCCACCGGCAACTCTCTTGCGACATCCGACATGTGCCCTAAGTTCATGGACACCAGCGGAGGAACCTATGCCTCGACGTGGGACAAGATTTATCTGCCACCCATCACCGAAAGACTCAACAAGAAGATCTCTGGTAACCTCACTCTAACCGATGACCAAGTCTCGATATTCCCGTACCTCTGTGGTTTCGAAACCCAGATTACCGGCAGCACCAGCCCCTGGTGCGATGTCTTCACGCCCAATGAAATCCTTCAGTACGAATACCGTCAGGATCTTCGTTACTACTACGGCACGGGTGAGTGATCCCTATACGAATAGTACAAAAAGACGGGATGAAATGGACAGCCGCTGAATCCATTCTAATCTCAGGTCCCGGCGCTGGAAAGAACATGACAGTCATGCTTCCCGTCCTCCAGGGCATCGTCAACCTGCTCGAGGACGGCCCAGCAGCGACGGCCAACACGACCACCGGCACGAGCAAGCTCCCTCCTCTCATCGTCGCCTTCACGCACGACAACCAGATCAACGAGCTCGCCTCTCTCCTAGGCGTCTTCGACGAGCAGGAAGCTCTTCCCGCTGATAAAATGGATAAGAAAAGGGTATGCTGCTTTTCCCTTATCCAAGTCAGCTCTAACGGTTGCCGGTAGATCTACGTCAGCACTCGCATAACCCCCATGCGGGGGACCATCGCCTTCGAGCGTCTCAACTGCACATCCCACGGCAAGAGCTCGGTTAATGTCCGTATTCTCCTGAATGACGCTGTCTATCGTAAGTTTGTCCCGTAGCATCTGCCGCCGTATAATATTACTGCAGCGAGACTAATGTCCATAGCCATTCCGTCTTGCCGCTCTGGACCTGGAAGCAGCTGCCCGCTCGACCAGTATACTGCGCTAGTGGCCAAGAAGAGGGAGCAGTACGGTTCCTTTGCATCGGTCTGTGGCCTTTCCGAGGGCAATATTACCACCGCCGGTTCAGACGGAGCTGTGACTTTCTTCAATGACTTGACCCTTCCTTTCTTGAGTGTTGTCAAGCCTTGATCTCATTCAGTTGCCTGGTTTCTTGTTCTTTGTAACATTTTATTCATTACACAGTCCTTACTGCCTCCTTTTTATGATTCACAATGTATGGTACTTCATAATTTATTTAGAGGCAGGCGGTCGTTGAGATTATTATGGGCTTTTTCGCCTGCATAAAGCTCTCTTTTGAAGATTGCCCATGGCAGTGTGTAGCTTGTGTAGAACAATGAAGACACTATCAAGACTTGCAGTCCGTCAAGGAACAGTAATATAGAAGGCCGCGAGTCATGAAGCTTACGTTATATGGTGCAGTCCAGTGACGATTCCAGATCAAGCCTTATCAGGCCAGTATTTCTGTACAATTACCTTCTTGTTCACCTTACCCATCGCATTGCGCTCAATACTGTCCACGATTTTCAGCACCGTCGGAATCTTGTAAGGGGCCATCTCCTGCTTAAGTTGCGCACGAAGGCTGGGAAGTTCCAGCGGCTCGGTCTGCAGCTTCGTCAGTTCATGCTTTGCGAGAGACGTGCTCGAGAGAGGCAAATATCTCACCCCAGGCCGTTGCTTGACAACAGCAGCGACGCGCTGGCCCCATTCCTCGTCCGCCAGGCCCACAACAGCAACTTCTTCAATGGCATCCAAGCCGAGCATCTTCCGTTCCACCTCTAGAGCCGAGATCTTGTAGCCCCCGGACTTGATCAGGTCGACCGACGCCCGGCCTTGGATGAAGTATGCGCCCGTATCATCGCGCCGTGCGACATCCCCAGTCTTGAACCAACCGTCTGCAGTGAACTCCTTGGCTGTCGCGTCGGGCTGTCGCCAGTATTCGAGGAAGACGTTATCCCCTTTGATCTCAATCATGCCGTCCTCGTTCGCGGACTCGATGATTGCGCCCGTTTCCTTGTCGACCAGCCGCACCTGTACGCCAGGCAGAGGCCAGCCGACGCTGCCGTCAATGCGCTTCTCGACGTCCAGCCCGCAACTGAGCGCCATGCCGATCTCGGTCATGCCGTATCGCTCCAGAAGGATCTGGCCTGTGATTGCGGCGAACTTGGTTTTGATAGGGGTAGGGAGCGCCGCGGAACCGCTTACAACGAGCCTCAAGGCGTTGGCGCCACTTCGCGCAGCGGCTTCCTCGTCTGTGCCGCGAATGTTGGCCTCGAAGTAATCGACCAATCGAGCGTATATCGTCGGAACTGCCATGAACATTGTAGAGGAGCCCTGGACCTGCCACCGGTTCCATATGACTTGCGGGTCGAATTTGGGATACATCTCGACCGTAGCTCCGCTGAGGAAACTAGCTGTTAGACCGTTGATGATCCCATGGACGTGATGAAGCGGTAGGACATGGATGAGGTGGTCGGACGGGCTGTACTTCCACGCTTCAACAAGGCATCCCGCTTGGAAGGTGATGTTCTTGTGCGTTGTGACGCAACCTTTGGGTTTCGATGTTGTACCAGATGTGTAGATCATCAGCGCCCTTCGACCCAGAGAGGAGACAGGGCTGAATGTAGGCAGAGAATTCGATGAGAGATCGTTTTTCGCATGAAAAGGCTGGAGAGCGATGAATGGCACATTCTTGGTTACTGACTCACATAGCGGCTCACTGAACTTGTCGAATGCAGGATGCAGAATGACCAAAGATGGGTCCGAGTCGTCTATTGTGTAAAGTAATTCCTTGACCGGGTGTGTTGTACCTTTGATGGCATTGATATTAGTAGTCTTACAACAGTCACCAGTTACGAGACGTACAGAGGGGCACACAAACGCCGCCAGCAGCCCAGATGGCCCACTGGGTAACAACGTAGTCGTATCCATTTGGGACCAGGAAGGCGATGCGTCTTTCTTCCAGATCTGCCAGCTGCAATTCCTCGAGAATGATCCTTTTCAACGCTGCCGTGTCCAGTAAAAGCTGCGTGTAGGTGAATTGCTCCCCCTTGGCCGCATCTATTACCGCAACTTTCCCCGCATTGTGCTGCGAAACTTTCTGTGCCTCGAGAAATAAGGGGAGTGAGGGAATTGAATCTAATGGAGAGACTTCGTGTGACTCTGAACTGCATGAATAGAAGTCAGAGTCGGCCTATGGAAATAGTGGCGATATAGGTGATCTATAATGAGTTGAGGGGCGGGGACCTTCACTCGACATACCAGCCATTAGTGGTGGAGAGATCAACAGTCATGTTTATCTTACGTCTCTTGTAGAGGGGGTATGATAAAGGCCGTGATTCAGGGGATTCACCAAGAGAAAACGTTAAAGCTATCACCCGACGAAGGACATTCGGAAATTCCGAAGATCGCTTTCCCCGTCATCCACTCCGTACATACATATTCGATTAGCTGTTCAATCAAGTGAGGGGAGTTGATCTTAGCCGACGCTTATCGGAGTTCGGTCGTCACCCGGCGACACAGAGATGAGGTAGGCCGAACGACGCTGGAATGGATGAATACAAATTGTACATTGCAGCATGTTGACAAGGAATGCTAAGCTAGAAGTTTTGTGGTAACTGCCGGTTTTATCATTTGGCTCTTGGTATCTGGGAGATCAATATCGTCCAGTACTAGTCGCAGTCGAGGAAAGTCGTTCTATTCCGCGATTGTCTCGGATGCATGCGCAAGGTGTAGGTATCCAATCTTTCGCTTGCCAGGACGCTATCAAGTCGTCTTCGATTGGGCACTATGGTTCTTTTTCATTGTTTGTTGATTGCATTGCTTCCTACGTCTGGTTCTCCCATACTTGAGAATGATCACGTGGCCAGCTCGGGGATTGCAGCCTCGGACTTAAGGCCGACCACGAGCGACTCGGAGATCAGCAGTCAATCGTCATTCAAGCCGTATGCGACGGCTCCTTGAGGGAGCGACCACAAATTCAAGAATATGCTGCTCAGACGATCAATATCGCGCTCCTGTCACTTCAGACCGTCGAGTTTCATCCGCATTGCTCGCCATGGCTCCTCCTTGGCACCGCCGCTAATTCGCATCCAAGATGGTACTTTTTACGAAAACTATCCTACTCCCGACGATGCGGCCAAAGACCGTAACCGCCCTCTCTTCCAAAACTTAAATTTTGTCCTACCTTCGAAGCCAACTCCTTCTCCCACCGAGGGCAAGGAAAGTCTACAACATTGGGCTGTGATCGGTTCGTTGGGAAGAACCCAGCTGCTTGATATCCTCCGCGGCCAGTACATCTGCCTTCCGCCCACCGCTCGCAGTTACCCTTTCCTTCTCACGGATGAGATCGCGGCCAAAGATGCTCGGTTACGGTTTGTGGGAAATGCAATTCAATACATTGGATTCAGTGGGGAGGGTTCAGAGGCAATCGGTGGCACTCGGGGCGCGTACCTGAGTGCTCGGTATGAGAGTCTTCGGGAAGAAACCGACTGGACTGTCCGCCAGTATCTTCGGGGTCAAACCTCTCTGAATCCCTTAGAAGGAGAAGAGAATGGAACGGTCCGAAATGAGGAATTGTTGGCGCAGGTTATCACCGACTTGCGCTTAGGGGAGCTGCTCGACATGCCCGTTGCCAATCTGAGCAATGGCCAAACAAGGCGTGCGCGGATCGCAAAGGCCCTCCTCAGTGAGCCAGAGCTGTTACTGCTTGATGAACCTTTCAGTAAGTCACTCTGTGTAACAAGGGAACTTATGACAAGGGTGTTGACATCCTCTTAGTGGGCCTGGATCCAGCTACAGTTCGGAGTATTTCCGGTCTTCTCGAACGCCTAGCAGTGAAGGCCTCGCCAAGGTTGATCCTCGCCTTGCGGCCGCAGGACAATCTTCCGGATTGGATCACCCACATTCTTCTTCTCGGAAACTCCAACCAGATCCTGTTCCAGGGCACAAGGTCGGAAGCGGACAGAGTCATGCATGTCTGGAAGCATCTTACAAAGAAGGGCAGGACCCCAGCACTCAGTGAAGAGGAACAGAAGATACTGCAAGAAGCTCGAAAGGACATGGAGTCGGGCTCCCTGGATCGACAACTGCTCTGGGATCTCAATCTTATCGAGACTAGCTCGAATCACCGTAACGCAGTGACAACTCACGGGGGAGAGCCGCTGATCGAGATGGAAGGCGTTCGTGTGCAATACGGCGACAAGGTCGTTCTCGGCGGCTGGAAGCAAAGCGTCAGCGCTCAGAAAAAGGAGGGACTGCATTGGACCGTTCGTCGCGGCCAGCGTTGGGTGGTGCTTGGGGCCAATGGTTCAGGGAAAACCACATTACTGTCCTTGATTACATCGGACCATCCACAAACCTACGCTTTGCCGATCAAGGTCTTTGGGCGCTCGCGCTTGCCCGAGGCGGGCAAGCCAGGCATTTCGATCTTTGAACTTCAATCGCGCCTTGGTCACTCGTCCCCCGAAATTCACGCTTTCTTTCCCCGTCAACTTAGCATTCGCCAGGCCATCGAGTCTGCCTTTGCTGAAACATTTCTTGCCAAGCCGACTTTGGATCACGAACGAGACTTGGACGTAAGTGCGGCGTTGAGGTTCTTCAAAGCCGAATTAGACCCAGACGCAGCCGTCACAACTCAACAGAAACCACCTGGTGTGAATTACCGCGCTATGGATCTATTCCCCAATATCGGACAACTCAAAACTACCAAAAATCGCGATTTCGTGCCGACAGACTACGATGTCGAGTATGCCGACTCTGTACGGTTCGGAGAACTTAGCACTGCACAGCAACGCCTCGTGCTCTTCATTCGTGCATTGATCCACAAGCCAGATATAATCATCCTTGACGAGCCTTTCTCCAACATGTCTGCGTCCCTCAGAGACAAGTGTATCCACTTTCTCGAGGCCGGTGAGATGCGTGGCAATCTTAAAACCTCCATCACGAGGCGTACAACAAGCACGGAGGCTACGTGGCTCAAGGGCTCCAGCGCCAAAGCAAGTGAAATACGGCACCGCGGTCTATCCGACGAACAAGCCCTCATTATGATCAGTCACGTTAAGGAGGAAATCCCTGACAGTGTCCGATACTATATGCGTCTCCCGTCTGATTCGGGCGACGGAGGCGAGCCACTTGACTTCCGGTTCGGGGTCTTACAACGAGGCAGCGTCATGAGTGATCCTAAGATTTGGGATCTGGCATGGTCTCCTCCTTCGGCGTTCGATAAAGCAGCCAAACCAGTACGGCAGAAGAAATCTTCCGCTAAGAGTGGGCTCCACGATGAGAATATTTATGAATGGTACACGATATAATAAACATTGGTTGGTGATAGACATAGACAGATTCTACATAGCATACCTCACATGTACATTAGTTCTCCAGATCTAGCGAAACCCTAACTCAGGTCCCTGTGTGCAAAAGCACCGGTACAAATAGCACCTACTCTGTTTGCCAATTTGTCAACAGTCAATATTTCCAGCATCCCACCGCCCATTTCAAGTCCATGTTCCAGAGCACTAGAAGACCACAGAGAATGGATTAGTTTTTTGTTGGATCCTGCTACAGATGAGTCCTTTCCCCGCGAGATTTCTATTCCCCTGAGCCAACCTCGGATCAAACTGTGTCTATCCTCATTCCCCAGCCCATCCTAAATGCATCGACAGCCCCGATCACAAGTTAGATACAATGAGGGGACGACCTTGAACAGTCTAGAATCTTCAGCCACGAGGGCTTAACGCTCATTAATCAGGTCACACGTACGAAAGATTCTAGCCGGGAATCCAGTGTAGTATATTGGCCCTTTCCGTTCCATAATACCTTCGGCTACGATCAGAGCAGCAGCAAATACCAGGTGGACCCGCTTTTTGATCGGTATTGCAGAAATAAAAGGTCAGGGGAAATAATGGTAGAAGTTTCTTTCAAAGGTTCCTGAACATGCAGAAGGATTTGTGAGTCTTGGATTGCAGGCATGAATTGTTACTCTTGTTTGAGTCTGATCGAAATTTAAATGATATTACCCAGAGCGCAGCTCGCAGAGAAGAAACCCCTGATATCCTGACCTCCTGATATCCTTGATCAAAAAGCATGGTCCCGTGCAGCATCCGCCAGCCCCGAAATGAGAGACTCCGACCGAGTCATCTGTGGCTTCTCGCCACCATCATCATGCAGATCCAATCCCTTGGCAACAAAGTCGGCGAAGTCTACACCGACTTCGGTGAGAGAGTCGGCATGCTCATGTACGATATCGATGCATTTCTGCCAGACAGTCGTGCCTCGCTGTACGCTGCTGAGCTGCCGGGTGAGAAGGGCATTGAATCCGTCCAAGTGGTGTTTGGCCCACTTGATGCAGGCACTCGTCATAACAGACGGGAAGCATTGCTGGTAGATGTTGATAGTGTTTTTGATCAAGGTGAAATAGACGTAGGAAACCTGGAATATATAGAGGGGGAGATCGCCCTCGAAGACACATGCCCTAGATCCGTCTCAAATTAGTCCTAAATTCAAAATTGGGGCCCTGGCGATAAAGACTTACCGGACCCGTTTGGAGATCACATCAGATCGGGCTTTCAAGTAGGACTCCCGAGCCTGATCCTCAAAGCCTAGACGAGTGAGCCAGGTAACATTCGTCTTGGTGGCATTCAAGAACGAGTGAGTGCCAGCTAATGCTCGTGATAAGACACTGGCCAGCTTCGCCGCACGTTCATCAACCTTGCTGTTGATGATTTGCTGCGCAACCGAGTTACCCTTCAAGCCCCTGGCTAATTTCCTAAGCCGCTCAATGCCAGAAACGGCTTCTTCGAAACGTTGAAGGGCGATATCGATGTCGAGTTCATCCACTTGTCCATCCACCCATCGAAGATTCTGCTGCTTTCCATCAACATCAATGCGAACTTCGGGCTTGTCGCGGGAAGCGTCTGAACCATTAAGGAGATCAGACTTTTGAGAAACGGAATGTCTGACGCCTGCATAGCCAAATCCATCAGTGGGCTTGGTGGCAGTTTCTGTCTCGGACCGCAGTGTTCGCCGAAGGTCCTCCACCGCTTTTCGAAAAGTCGCAAGAAGCTCGCTCTTGTCGGAACTATCCCGCTTGTCGTGGCGATATGTGAAAGTCTTTGAGCCTACTCGGACATTAATTGCGTTTGCGATACCTCGCTCTTCGGCTTCTTCGCGGGCTGCCCCAGTGCCCATATTGGCGCCGAGGTCAATCATGTCAACATCTTGTAGCGGCCAACACTCCTCGGCTACAAGTTTCGTCGGAACCGGCCCTCGATGGTTGGGGTTGTTTTGGTCGACTCGCTTTCGCTTTTTCGCAGCCACCAGGAGATGGTCGTTCAGAAGCACGATGTGAACAGGGCGCCTAGGCTTCCAAGTGGCCGAGTCCAGCTCGACCCACTGCCCTGTCTCCATCACAATATGCCGGCCTGGCGCTACAGGTAAGAACTTTTGTGATCCCTCAACTGTCTTCCATAGTGTTTGAAGCTGGACATTCCACATGCTTTCGAGATTGGCCACTGAACTGCGATTCGCGTTGCGCTTCGGTACCCAGTCTTCCGTCGTCGGTGACATAGGGTTCGGGGCATTTCCAATAGCCGTCTGGCCCAGAGCAGTGGTGAGTTCCGCCATCAGAGTCCGAAGCGTCCGCATCTCGCCTTTGAGCTTCTCCGCCTCCTTACTGATCTTGATGAACTGGGTGCGATTCTGGTACACATTCTGCTGAAGGTCGGTGGACGTTCTGTTTCTCACTTTCCGTAGATTGTTTTGGTACTCTTCGATTTCTTCTTCCGTAGCATTGGCGAGCAGGTTTGCTACATCTACAAGTTGGCAAGCCGGATTAGCCTACATGAGATCTGCCCGGAACGGTAGCTAAGCTTCACAACGACTCACATCTGTCTACCGGCAGACTTGGATCCCTCAATGCATTCAAATCAACTTGCGGGGGCCCGGAGGAGTCCGAGGACGGCTTTCTGCTGGCTTCCGGAGGACTCAATCCGCCATAGTGGCTTGCTGCCGCAGGGAGACCAGGGACAGGGGGGGCGCTGGCATCGAATTCCGGAGCTTGATTGAATCGCGTCGAGTATCTCCGCTTTACCAGATCTGAGGTCGCGCCATTCGTGGGGATTCGCTCGCGAGACACTGGCTGAGAGATATTGTTTCCCTGGCCCGAATCGGTACTCTTGTCGTTAGGTGGAAGCGGTCCAGATATGGGCTTGGGAGCACTGATTTGAGGACGAGCGCGGCGCGTTCTACTTCGGAGGGTCAATCCGCGACCTTCCATATTTTGGGACTGAGACGCTCAGCAAGCGGGATCGATTAGATGATAACTATGAACAAGCTGAGGAAAAGCGCAAGCATTGCAACATGACGAGCTGTTTGTCATACGTAGCTGTCCCGTTGGGCGCTCAAGCGGGACAGAAACCCCGAGGCGGAACAACAATGATCCCGCCCTTCAAAATTATCGCGGCTGCCCGGTTTACAAGCTCAAGACGGGCGTCACCAGAACTTCCAGTCGTCAAAGGGAATACCTTGCCATCCCCTTGTTGGAACCACGAGAGGTTTATTTTGTTTTCTTTTTACTTCCGGGATTGTATTCTACCCTTTTAAATTTAACTAAATACCTCCTCTGTCCGCACCAACATGAAGACCTCAACTTTGGTGGCCGCTTCTGCCGGCACTATCTTGACCGGCCTCTTGGGTAAGTGCCGAGGAAATGCATCGATCGCATATATTCAAACCGAAGTTGACTCATCCTGTAGCCTACGCTGTATACTTTGACCACAAGAGACAGACCGATCCGGAGTTCCGCAGAAGCCTGAAGAGAAACAACCGTCGACTTGCGCGTGCTGTCAAGGAGGAAGCAGAAGCCCAGGGAGCGATGCAACGGGAAGCCATCAAGAAGGCAGTTCAGCAGGCCAAGGATGAAGGTTTCCCAACAGACTTGGAAGAGAAGGAGGCCTATTTCATGGGTCAAGTCGCTCGCGGAGAGTCTCTGTGTGCCGAAGGTATGATCAACATCACAAGTCATCACGACGAACAACACACAAAGTCAGCTCACACACCTTCGCATCTAGGCTCCGACCAGATTGAAGCTGCTCTGTGCTTCTACAAGGCTCTCAAGGTCTACCCTCAGCCCAAGGACCTGATCTCGATATATGACAAGACCGTCCCTAAGGATGTGTTGGAGGTCTTGGCCGAAATGGTCGCCATGGACGCCGGTCTCAAATTGGGTTCTTTCACTGGCGAGGGTGGCAGTGCTGACAACCACGGCGTCGAATAAATGCCATAAGAAAGCGGCGGCCCTCCACAGCACTTTACCCTCCGCGTCTCCGTCCTTTCGCCTTTTCCCGCAATAGGAGTCTTGGCCTTGGTTTCTTGAGCTTCCGGTCCACGCTGGGCCGTGGCCTGGTCACTTCTCCAGACTGACCTATCTGATTCTCCTTTCGTCAAATCTCTCTCTCTCACACGTGGCGCTTGCAACATCTCCACTACTTGTGACCTTTCTTCTTCCACCACCTGTACATTTGCATTGTCTTGGCCGCCGATGTGGCGGACCATCTTGGTATTTCTCGGCGCCATGACTTTTCGTTCTATTTATGTGTATTTCTCCCCTTTTGCCTATCATCGGTCTCCTTGGCCCCGGACCTGGCCAGACACCACATTTCGCTGGGTGGCTGAGCCCCGGTAGTACCTCTGTCTCCGAATCCTCCGTTACGATGGGTATGCTTTGGGTTGTATTTTAGAAGGATCAGTGGTTCTAGCAGGGTGAAAGACGGTCTTTGAAGAAAAAGTAAAGTTCGGTTAGCTGTTGTATTCTCTTTGAGGTTGTAACTCATTCGAAGGCAGTCAGATTCTGAACAGGAGGACCCAAGAACATCCAAGACGAATTTGTATAATGTCTGACTCTTTAGGATCATGGAATGACCCAATCCCAGCCTCTGCAACCCAGTCTGACCCTTGAGGTGCGACGCTGGCGTAGTGGATGAGCCGGATTGTTGTTAGCGCCGCTTGGCCGCACTGTTTCACTCTCACGATGCTCCACTGGCGTTCATTGTGCCCAGATTTTAGCCTTGATAAATCATCTAATTTAACTCCTGGGCGCTGATAATTTACTCTTGGCCCTATCTGTTTCCAAAATGAAGATCTAACTCAGTCCTCTTCCCCTTACTACTCCCTTCTTCATTTCTGTTCCTTCCGTCCTCGAGTCCTTTCTCCTTGTCGCGTGGGTTATATCTTTTAATCGCCACGATCGCTTCCTTCTGTTTTGTTTATACGCCTCCCTAACTTCAGTCATTCTTTTTGAAGCCCCTTGAACCCT